GCCAGATTTTCGAATCTGAAAGAGACTACTACAAAAATGAAGACGTGCATTGCATCTAACTATAATTGTAAGTGGAAGTTTGCACCGCCGCGCTGTAATCGGCGCACCGAACGCCGAGTCGCATTTATATCAATTAGTAGCGTGGCCATTGAGGCAGGTTTCAGCGAACTTACAAGCGAGTGAGAGGAGAGCTAGTAATTATCGACGCACTTGCCATCGAAATCAAGCGTTTATTTGCTGTGCTGGACGTTCAATTTAGCTCGAGGACTGTTGAAGGTAAATCAGTCGACTGTAATTCACACCGTGACTTCCAATCGGAGATACGCGTGATCGGAGAGACCGTTTAATGAACTAAAGACATTGAAAAGGTCAAGGTTCAAAGATGGTACGATACGGCGGCAAAGATGGAGTTCTGAATTACACCAATTACAGTATTAAACAATAAAGCAATTAAGACAGCAATAATTTAACAAGTAATACATCTCCTTAAATGTTTCGAGAAAATTAATCAATATCTCAACGAGATCTCACTTAATCTAATGGTTTAATAAACTTCAATGTACAATAATTTCATGTATAATTCAACAAGATAATATACCTACTTGAGAGTCACTTGAGTTTCACTGCGTGAAAAACTTGCAATGCCATAATGTATATGGCGTTGCATATATCTACATATCAAAGTCGTCAAAAGTATTCGTGGCAATTTTGATTTGAAAAAATAAATAAATGAAATAAACTACGTGGAAAACTGTTTGTGTGCATTCTTGCATTTGCATTCTGTTCGTGAGAGTACCTATATTATAAGAATCGTCATTACGACAAGATTACTAACGACAGTAACGACGCAATTGCTAATGTCCGATGCATTATTAACACTCGTTTCGCATTTTGCTACATGTAAAATCGATGCGCTCTCATTGACTATAATAGATTTTCTACGCAATCTCTCTCGTGTATTCGCCGTACGGATGTAAATCGCCCATTTATATATATGCGAGCCCATCAGAACAGACGCAATTACGGAAGTAAAATCATAATAGAAAACTAGTAAACTTTCGCCTCTTTTCGCTGATAATCGGGAACGGGCATTGTTTCGAGCAGCGAATTAATCAGGGTCACCTATAAACTGGCGTCGCAATAGCTCCAATTTCGCATTTGCTCGTATTTGTAATACGAGCGCGCTTTACTTATTAGAGCATGTGAGAATCGCGATTGAAGATAATACGTGTGTACGATCAGCAATCGAAACGAGAAACGTTCGGTTCGGAAAAAGCGCGCTGCGCTCACTCGGCTCATGTAACAAAGCGTCTAATAAATGTGATATAAAAAGAATCCCATGATAAATGTAAATCGTTATGTGTGTATATATAGTTCGAGTATAATGATAATAGAACAATTGACAATTATTATAAAAAGAAATGCAATTTAAATAGGCAATTTCCCACCGATTTCAACCTTAAAGATTACTTGTATAGTTATATTTTTTGTTTCCCTTTTCTATGTTAATACGGTACTTGCATGTATCTAAAGTAATCATCAATTAGCCATACTGCTGTATTATACGCGCGAATCGTTTTATAATTTATTTATAAGTTTAACCTTTCGACACACGATATATAATGTAAAGTGGCTGCGACGAGAAAGATAAAATATATATAAGTGTATACATATAGAGAGAAGATTATATATATTACAAGTGTGTGTAAAATCTACACCGAGCTTTAGCGACGTATTCTTTTTAGCAAATTTGAGATCTATGCTTTCAGTCTATGAAAAATTTAAACTCCAACATTATACAATTACACAAGGTTAATTTTAAAAAAATTTCGCGGTGAGCTCAAGCATTTGGCAAACAGGTAACAAAAGTTTGTTGTTAGTTCCAGAATTACTCTGTTTTAACCAGATCTTAACTTTGTTATAAAGATATATTCAACAATAAAAATCCCAAAGTTATCAAAAAAAATATGGTGTCTAATCAAACTTTATACCGAGTGAAAGATCGTCAAAGAACTGATGTTTGATAAAAATCTGTCGAAAATATGTACGTCATGTACGTATCATTTTGTTCATCATTCTCCTGACCAACCCAAAAATTCTTTATAGCATTATTTATAATGTAATATATATTTTTATACTCATAAAAATTAAAAGTTTACAGTGATAAAAACGGCAGAGTACCTTTTTTTTTTATCATAGAATAGAGCACTGCTGTAGCATTTTCCAACGTCTTGAGACGCGTCGTGTAATCCGCAGAAAATCGAATTACACGGAAGCCTCCGCAAGCTACAAGAACATGCAAAACCTAATTCGCGTTTCTACTCCTACGATCTACTCGTATGATAAAGTAAAAGCACAAAATCACAAAAAGTATACAAAATGTTGAAATGAGTTATTTCAAAAAATTTCTAGAATAATTACAATGCTTGTATATAATATATTATTAAAGCAAATTATCACTGTAGAACTTGAACACTGTGTTTCGAACACTTGACGATTGAAAAATTTTTAGATAATTGTAAGAGTTAAAATGTAAACTGAATTAATCGTTTTTAAATAAATTATTCGGATAAGTTAAAATATATTACAATATATCTTTGTTATAATTCTAGTAGCCTTACATGTGCTTAATCAATAACAAGGATTTGAATAAACCAGTCGATATAATCTACATGCTGCTGCTATAATAGAATCAGCGTAATTTAATAAAGCGTATCAAATGACTGGGACAATCGACTCATCAAGAATTTAATATATAATAATACGTAACAAAATGGTTATAAAAACAGAGAATAATTCATGAATCAAGAGTATAATGACGAAAGAGACACGAGATTAATTGTACTTCTAACATTATACATCAAATATACGGGAACGCGAACACAACGGGACGTGATTTACATTTTATCTAGATTATACCATACATGCAACGTTGTGTGCAACAATGGTTTATTCCGGAGTGGAACAACGTATTCTGAAACGGCGTTTAACTTTTTCCACTATTTTGAAACGCCATTTAAGTATCACGCTCGGCGCAATTTAACTAGAGAGATAAGAAATCTGGCTTTAAACTAAGCGTACATATACTTTTTCAGATTGACAATTGCGTAACAAAATTAAATCGTGACTTACGTGAATCAATGAATAAACAAGATGTTTCTTTTCTTTTTGTCACACATAAATATCAATAATACATTATTAATAATACTATATATGATATACGAGCTGAAATTCGACTCAATTTATTGTTAATGATTATATTTAACAAACATTTAGCGATACGCAATTGTGTTAGTGTATATGTTAGTGTACGTATTAAAATAATTTAATAAAGATTGTATCAATAAATTAAATATAAAACAAGTATTAAAATTCTGCGCAAAATTCGCAAAAAGAATTTATAAAATTGAGGCAAAATACGACGCTTACAAATTAAATTTTGTATTAATAATTTTCTTAACATTTAATCATGTGTCTATATGGAAAACAATGCGGATATCGCAAAAGCGTCTAGAAAAGTGATAAAAGATTATAGTAGAAATTCTCGCGAGTTCTTTTTTCAAACAAGCTTGAGAAATTAGAGTCTACTAAGAGTCTAGTTAACGAGCTTCTATGTCTTAAGCTGAGAACATGCATCCAGATTCCATAATCCCAAATGTAATCTGACTGCCGCCTTTTCCACCGTCTCTATTCCACCATCCAGAACATGGATATTTTCTCGTTGTCTCGGCAAATATCGATCAATCTTCAATATAATAAATCGATATCCCTTCATGTACACAAGTACATATGTCCGCAAAAACTCGGAAGAGCGCGTGAATTTCGCATATTAAATTGAGGATGGAACAAATATTTGCTCAAGAAAACTGTCATGAAAGAGAAACTTCGCAGAAAACAAGGGTTAATATTTTTTTCATAAAAATTAAAAATCTGCTTTATTTAATTTTAATTTTAATGTTTAAACATTTATAAGTTAAATTGTTAAATGTTTAATTAAAATTCGTATTCTATTAAATAACACTTTTACTTCCTTCATTTACGCATTATAAAATTTACATATCTGCTAAATTATAAAATTTACACATCTGCTAAAAAATAAAGTGTTGCAATATTTTTGTAAGATTTATCATATTTTTTAGAAAATATTTCTTTTTATCCTTGAGATAAAAAAAAACATAACGTAACAATACAATTTCTCAAAAGAAAGAAATTTTTTTTAAATATCAATATATTAAAAGAAATAGACAATGATACGAGTAATGATCGAAATATAAAGAATGAAGAACATCAGAGGTATTGAAGCGTAAAAGCAAAGTCATCCTTTATTCGTCTTTTCGCTTATGCACTTTCTCTCTTTTGCTTTATTGAATTCCAATATTGCGTGTCGCCCGTATTTGATTTCTGTGATATTTATCGGCACGATACAATATGACTGTTATAAAAGATTGTATTTAAAAAATTGCAACAGCAATCTCAATGATATATTTTGCCTGAGAAACACCTTGTAGAATGAAACAATTATAGAATGTCATAAAGTTTCAATAATAAAATTTAATACAATTTAAATAAGATTAGAAAATTGTTTTAATTCAAAATATTTGATTAAACGCTCTACTGTGATGAAAACACATTTAATTTTTATACGCGGTTGTTATAATATTTATTGTCGAAAATAAGCAATGATTGTGCAAACGCGCGATGCATGTCTGATTAAAGTGGGTGATATCTACTCGCGATGCCAGCCATGTATACCACGACCGTGTCACGTGCAGATTATTCATAATTTCACTTTGGAACGCCTACTCGGATTAAGTTCCAAGACTCGCTCCGTCAATATCGATTAGTGATTCAATTTAATTACTCTCCTAATAACATACATATATTCGACAATGGCGTAAAATTAGTACACCACGATGGCACACAATTATAATTTTTTAATGTATCGTGATCGAATAGATCGCAAAATGCGTATAAGATTGACAAAAATAAAATTGACTTACCAATATTTGGATGTTGCAGTTTTCTACATATCCGTGCCTCACGCTCGAGTTTTTGAAAATCTGCAATAAGAGAATATATTTTTTTAAATAAGTAAATATATATGTATGTATATAATATATATTAATCATTTAAAGGAAATTTAAAGAAATAAAAGTAATTTAGATAACGTATTGCTGCGCTGAGTTACTGCTTTTTCTAACTGTTGCAATTAATTATATTTTTGTAGATTAAGAAAGCATTCGAATATAATTTCGCGTAACATTAACTGCGCAAATTTTTTTCTGAAACGTTCGATTGTTGGAGACAAATCATCACGATAAAATCGAATTTCATAATGAGATTTCTCAACGAGTTCTCCCAAAGCTAATTCACTAAGAGGTACGAGAAAATTGCGTTTATGGACGGTAGACTCATTTTGAGGATTATTTCCCGTGTACTATCTTACGTGTACTGCGGAATCGAGAATCGATTCCCTGTAATATTTGATGGCCATTTGATTAAAATAGCTCGAGATGAAGAATGCTATGTCCAAACAAATGCATATCGCAACAATAACAAAAATCCTTCTTTCAAATTTATAAATTATATTGTTGCTTAGATAAATATAATCGAAATGCTGATCGTGAATTATTATCGTTAATCAGTATTCTTCATTACGGTAGCTACTCTCTGACCCGCTTAAGAAATATAAGAATAAAAGACAAGAGCTTACAAGTAGTTTTCGCGCGAGTGGCGCGAAAAACATCAGGCAAATTGGCGAACAAGCACTCGGAGCAAGCTCTTTCTGTTTTTCGCACCCGCGGAAAAAGTAGGTTACTTGACAGAGTCGAGTTTTCCGCTCGCAATATGCTAAAGAGTTTCACCCACTTTACTTACAAGCTACGCGGAAGATAATCATCGGCGAAGGTAAGGAAAAAATTGAGCGAACGTACGCTCGCATACACGCCGCACACGCTTATAAAAATAAACCGTCTGAATAAATGTTTCCATTTTCTTTGATATAGCTGATATAGCGAGCGGAAATTATTAACATCAACGACGTGAGACTTGATGATCCTGCAAAGTCAATTATTTAATAAATCGAAAGTAAATTGGGGTACGTGCGTAGCCACTCCCTATTTAATTATAAATTTTTTAATAAGATTTAGATGACATGGATAAAGCGTAAACTCTCTAACCGATTGTGAGTGAATGCATTAATCGCATTACGTGCCAAACAGAATATAAAATAAATCTATTACATGATTTTAACGTGTTTTTGACACAAAATATTAATCGTATACAGGGTGTCCCGTAATGACCGGACTAACGCTTAAGGGTAGATTCCTGAGATCATTTTAAGACAAAAGTTCCAATACCAAAATGTTGAGACTATAATAGTTTTTGAATTATAAGTGTTTAAAGTTAACTAATCAGATTAATCAGGTCAAAAAAAAATTTTTATTT